TGACAAAACAATTTCAATGGGGGAGACGGGTGGACCAAATTCATTTTCCATGTGCTGTTAATTGAGTTGTCACAGGAAATCAGTAGATCAAAAATAACGATGATCGGATAGTTTTTTTTTTTAAATTGGCCCTTTGTTCTCTTTCTAGAGCCGTCCATGTGTAGATGGTTTCCTTCCTTGCATAACTTGCACGCCGATACCAAATAGCCTAAAGAGCCTGAAACCTAAATCTTACTTTTGTTTTAAGACACATTTCAGTAAATCCAATCCCTTAACTCAGCGAGGCAGAGCTATTTTTCATCCGATAAATAGTCCCAATAACAAAAACAGACCTTTGAAACCACAATTTTTGGCCTGGCGAGATAAGGGGGGTATTTCTGCTATTGATTTGGTTTCATGGTATTGTGGCCATCATCTCAGAAAGACGAAGTCCAGATGACCGACTATCCAATACGTGCCACGTTTAATACGAGCAAGTTTTCACATGTGCGATCCTTTCGCAAACAAACCAAGCAACCATGCCGATCACAACAATATCTTTTTCACCCAGCACTTTCGGACCCTTCCCCGAAATACTTTGCTTTTGCCAACCCAACCTCGTGCTTAAAACGGACACATTTAGCTTCACCTTTCGTGACGCTTCAATCTGGCGGCGGCCACGAGATTCCACCAAAACGACCTGTTAATGGCACACCTAAAAACAGAGGAGTTATTTAGAGAAGATGATGCGGTTGTTACAAGATGAATAACCTCGGGGCTTGACTTTCATCCCAGACCTGCCTCGACACACAGAGAGAAGGTTTGCAGGGGATGAAGTGAGGGTTGAAAGAAGTAGTAAGGCTTGTCAAAAGACAAAGAGCCTTCAAACACTCTCTGGCTGAATGTGTGCGCATGTATGTGTGTGGGTGTGTGGGTGTGCGCGTGGATGGGTGTCTGTTAACTCCGTAATGATTTGCCCTGAGGGGCTTCATATACATTTGGCAGTTCTTCGTTTCCTGCTATCCAGCCTTTTATCTCATCAGCAACTTTCACACACACACACACACACACACACACACACACACACACACACACACACACACACACACACACACACACACACACACACACACACACGCACACACACAGCGGCTGTCCTGGAAACATTCAGCAAAAACAGCCTTTTGCCTGACCACAAGGACTGTCCTCAAAGACCAACTGATGTGATATATATTGTCTGCATGTGTGTGTGTGTGTGTGTGTGTGTGTGTGTGTGTGTGTGTGTGTGTGTGTGTGTGCATGTGCGTGTGTGTGTGCATGTGCGTGTGTGTAGTCAGTGATTATACAAGAACAAACCCAGCGGCTAAGGAGGATTAGCCATCATTGAGGTTAAGAATGTTTTTCACCAAAAAAGAGTGAAATCTGAGGATTGGAATGGCACAGAAAGATGCTGAATAGCGACACAAAATGTAAAAATGTATTTGACGCCGCCAGGCAACATGAGGTGCATTTTGAGTTCAGCTGATGTAGTTGACAGTGTAACTGGAGAAGAAAGCCACAAGACGCGAACGCTATGGACAAAGTCGACAGTCTTCGGGTAGACTCTCTTTTGTTTTTTTCCTTTGCGTCGTTGGTTTGGTCTGTTGTGGCCACAAAGGTGGACTGAGGCTGAACAAGATGGACAAAATTGATCACCAGATATCTCCAACTGCATGTGACTGTGTGTTGAGTGAAAACTAAGCGTTTTGAGAAAAATAAAAACAGAATATAAAAGAATGTGGAACGGGAAACATATTTCCCTCCTGGCCAATTATTCATGGAAATCATTCAATATTCAGTCAATATTTTCCGAAGAATTTTTCAATTGGTGTCAATAACACTCCGATTTCTGCTATTTGTGGGCTGGCCCGGTCGCTGTCCCCCGCCAACGCTCGGGGTTGACGGTATACATTTCAGAAATCTGGTGAATATCAGAATGTTAGCTGAATCTCATCTTGCTAACCGCTATTTAGCCTTGAAGCTAATGTTACGCCGTGTCACTTTTGGTTTCGCTCAAATAAGACAAGCTGTTGACTCTTGCGAGTCATTAGATGAAACAGTCTCAGTTTTATTTCCGTTTGTCTTCTCTGACAGTGAGAGATGTTTGTCGTGTGGGGGGATCAAAGTTGTTTCTGATGCCCAGGTGTTGGGCATCATAAACAACCACCGCCGCACCCAAAGTTTCTCTTTCCTGTCACCTTTTCTATCCCCCGCCAATGCTCGGGGTCGATGGTATACATGTCAGAAATCTGGTGTTTTTTTGAATATCAGAATGTTAGCTGACTCCCATCTTGCTAACCGCTATCTAGCCTTGAGGCTAATGTTACGCCAAGTCACTTTTGGTTGCACCCAAAGTTTCTGTTTCCTGTCACCTTTTTTAGCCCTCATTTTAGAAAACAACCACAGAAGATTGATAAATGTGTAACATACTAAGTGACGAGGCTAAAATAGAGGAAACATATTCATGACAATGAACAGGAGTCGGTCTGCTGTCTTTCCGTTCCAAGTGGGCATAACAAACAATGACATCGATTCAGTCATTGTTCAAAAGTTGCGCGGCACTGTTTGCTGCATTTCAGGCAAAATGTCCTATTTCGCTGGAGGTGGCTCAGCTGATTGAGGAGAGATTCTCCCAACTTTTTAAAAAAAACAATGTTTTTGTTCCCGTGTGTCATAAAATCTAACCAGAGATAAAATAGGCTACGCTCACAAATTAATTAACTAAGTTGGCCCAGAGAAAGAGAGAAAAAAAAAAGCGAAGCATTTTGGATCCATTTTCATTTCTATTTTTCGAGGGACAATTTCAAAGGTTCCCTACTCCAGAATAATTCAGTGCATCAAGCAAGGTCCATGAAACATTGCTGTGGATTATGTTCGTGTGGAAGAATATGTCAGCCCCCCCGACCTTGAAAAGTTGATTGAATACTGTAAATACTTTTCCAGTGGCAGAGCAAAACATTGCCCCCCCCCCCCCATTGTTTCATGGATCAAACCAAGAGACAAAAAGCTTGCCTCTTCCACAGCGGGATCTTTCACTCGTGTTGCGCGAGTGTGAACTGCTAAATTTGAAGCATTATCATCAAGCTTCGAGAGCACTGTTACAGAAGAAACAGCGCTCCAATAATGCAGTCCACTGACTCTTGCTGTCATGAAGGCCCCACTTTGCTGGCTACCGCGCATATGTGCAACATGTGGCTTGTCAGGCGGGCTCCACCATTCAAACTTTTGTTCGTTTTGACCTTGACAAGCAGGCCTTCGTCGACGCGCGCCCTCTTCTTGAATCTCACACACTGAGTGGATGTGATGGCCGTGCAGAATCCAAAGGAATTAAGATATTTCATGCAGCTTCAAATGACAAAATATGTCATTTTGTTTTCGGTTATAACAGCGCAGAAATGTGTTTCACAGCAATGCTTGTGCTTGTTTGTAGGATACAGTTGCGCTCCACTATTTACAGTTTTTGGCTTTATGTTCCTAATTATAATTTTGCAACAAAGGGGGGAAGTGACTGTCAGCTCATCAGGGGAAAGCATGTTTGGAAAATGATGAAAAATACACAGGAAGCTTTGAAAAATGTGGAAAGTCATAACAGAATGTGATTTATTTACAACCCGCGAAATCAACTTTTCAGCCCGGTGCTCCAGTGGTTAGCGTGTCGACCTCACAGTGCAGTAGTTCAATTCCAGCTCCGGCCTCCCTGTGTGGAGTTTGCATGTTCTCCTCCCGGGCCTGCGTGGGTTTTCTCCGGATACTCCGGTTTCCTCCTGCATTCCAAAAGCATGCATGGCAGGCTTATTGAACGCTCTAAATGATCAATTGGTGTGAGTGTGAGCGCAAATGGTTGTTCGTCTGTGTGTGCCCTGCGATTGGCTGGCAACCGGTTCAGGGTGTCCCCTGCCTACTGCCCGAAGACGGCTGGGATAGGCTCCAGCAGCCCCTGAGACACTTGTGAGGATAAGTGGATCGGAAAATAGATGAATGGATGGAAATCAACTTTTTGATCAACGTGATTTCCAATGCACGTTGCCTTGGCTTTTACGTTTGCAAGTAGCTCCACCCCACCACCAAAGAGAAATAAAAAACGGCCCTCAACTGATCGAAGATAAGCGCACAAAGACGTGGGATCACGTTTTGATCTTTTTATGACTTTTATACATTGCTGTGAGTACAATATTGTCATTCACCGTGGTCATTGTATTCTCAGGGCCTTGAATCAATCACAAGTGGACTGTTCTGGTTCTCTTTTGCCTCTCGTGTGACTAAGTTTCATCAGTTCATGCGATTAGGCTAGAACAGGACAGCTCTTGCACGAGTCTTGAGGTGGGAAGCCGAGTATTTCTCCTTTTATGCTAGAGGCAAAACCCAACAATGCTTTGATACTTTAGACAGACTTTGCATGTGTCTGGATGAGTGGATGACGTGGCTTTATTTTTTTTTTACTTCATGTGATTATCACTTATCAATGTTCTTATATAAAAGCCGTGTTGCTTTTCTCAAGTTTAAAAGGGGACAAATTATAATATTTGGTGGAAATTATATAATTGACACTACATGTAAAAAAGCAGAAAGATTACTCTGATTAAAGCATACCCACAGTTTCCTTTTCTTTTCGTTTTGCAACCTAATGAATCCAGGCCAGTTATGTTTGTGGCCACCATGTTTGGAAAAAAAAAGAAAAAAGAAAAGAAAAGAGGGGAAAAAAAAGATTTGGAGCAGAGGTTAGCCAACAGTGACGCGTGCCTGCAGATATGAGCCGGAGGATCGCTACGAGCTGTTTTGCTACTATCATTACATGTTTATTGGCAATGAGTGATAGTTGTGCTTCAGTGAACTCATCTGGGCCACACACTACGCATCACAGCTAGCAGGACTGCTCGCACTCACCCACGTTGCTGCAAAGGGAGAAGGAAGTCTGAATGTTTGCATTTCTATATTTACGATTTCTGAGGTTGCATTTTTTTTTTTTGTCCAATGTCTTCCAGGAAGTGAGCGCAAACATGCCACAGAGGAGAGGAACGCCAAAATCCATCTTTGTGTCCTCAATTTTAGTAAGTTCCCTGCATTTTTTTTGGCTTCCTATCTTGTATGTCTACTTATTGTTTTCGATATAGACGGCTTGACTTTGACACACTCCCTCGCATCATTCTGTTTCTTTGAAACAAAGCTAAATCTAGTCGGAGCATGCATCAGAGAGAGTACGGGTTGGAATCGGAAGGACTTGTGAAAACGGGGGCACATATTTTAAATAGATACGATAGATGATAAAGGCTCCTGCACACCAAGCCATGTAGCTAAACACGACCGAAGTGAACCAATTTAAAGAAAAACAACATAATAATACAGTTGGTTGGCGACTCTTCCCCACACACTAAACCGTAGTCGGCAACCCCATGCGGCTCTTTAGCGCCGCCCTAAAGGCTCCCTGGAGCTTTTTCACAAATGTTTGAAAATTTAAAAAGATGGGGCAGGGAAATATATTTTTTGTTTTAATATGGTTTCTGTAAGAGGATAAACATGACATAAACATTCTTAACGTTTTCCAACGCCGTAAGAATTCTTAGAATAAATATTAAATTGCAAAATTTCTGTCAACGACAATTTGCGTCATAGCCTGCGACACAAGTTTCTGTTAGCGGGGATGGATGTCAAATCAGGTGGCTCTTGTGAAAAAGACAGCGTTTCATGTACAATTCACTGCGGGTACTGGCAAAGAATGGGGAATCTGGTGGACTGAGAGAAGCATTTTTAAACAGTACTCGTGAGCTACGATTGTTAACCCGCTGCAAAAGTGCGTCCTATGCCTCGTTCATTTTAGCGGCCATTATGGCTGTCGCTCATTATAGCATGCGTGTGTCAGTGCGTGCGTGTGCGCACGTGTGCGGTAACGGGTGGATCGCGGAAGGTTGGTTGATCGAAAAGAAGATCTTTGGTCAAAAAATGTTGGGCACCCCTGCTCTCCAGATGCGCTGCAGGGGAAAAAAACTTTTAATCATGAAGGCTCATTGTGTATTTCTAGCCAACTAAGTCATTTTGATCGTAGACTAATATATGTGTTGCCTTCATTATCAGACTTAGATAAGGCTTTTCATTTTTTGCGGCTCCAGGCATATTTAGGGGTTGTTTTTTTGGGGGGGTCCAATATGGTTCTTTTAATATTTTGGGTTACCGACCCCTGCTCTAAACCGATTGAGCACATCAACATGCAAGCCGCAACAGAAACACAGCCAGACTCCAATATGCTGTACTGTATTCTTTATTATTGAATAATAAAAACATGTCCGGTTTCATTGGTCAAATGTGTTCCTTCCCCAAAACTCTCAGAAGTGTGCAAAGAGCCATAAAAAGAAGAAAAAAAAAACCTCAATCACTCCATTCACAATTATTCACATCTGCTTTTTTTGGAGCAAAACCACAGTTACATTTCACAAAATATCATAGTTCGCCTTTTCATACTTCTGTTGTAACCAAATGAAATAATTTTGGAGACAAAGGAAGGGCAACAAATGGGTTGGATTAGCAAAAGAGTCTGCGTGACACCACTTTAAATACAAATCATTTGCATGTGCTTCACATCGTGTAAGGGGATAAAGCTGGATGAAGGTCACTAGAAGTTGTTGTAGTTTTTATTTTCACAAGTGTTGGGCCTTACTGGGCTCACCTGCGACCGCGAGTATCGTATCTCGTGCCATAACGTGTGGATTTGTGTGTTGGTAAGACAATCGCTCATTATTGACTCAGTATGATTCATTGCAATTCCACAGCACTGCAAAATAAAGAATTTGTTAAATGAATCGCGATATCATTTATAAATGCCGAATATTTGATCTACCGGATCTCTCGATTTGGACCTCCCTGGTTCGTGCGGGCATACGTGTTGTCTTTGAATGCTTTAAATACCATTGCAATTTGCCCCATTGTGCAATTTGAAGTCAAGTTTCTTTCAGCCATAACTATGTTTGCATTTGTACAGTACGTGTCTGTCATACGCTCAACAACTTCCATCCTAGCCCTGCCACCCAAACGTCCTTCAGTAATAATGCCTTTGTGTCTCTGTAGGTGTGTTGTATGCTCGCCAGTGCGGAGTATTCCAGCTGTGGAGAGTATGAGTTCCTAAACCAGACCAGTAACAGCTGCCAGGCATGCCCTCAGTGCCAGCCAGGACAGGAGCCACACATGGTGAGATACAGCTCGTGTGTCAACTCATGTGTCACATGCCATCTGGCTTAGTTCATAGTTAAAAGGGTCTTTCAATTCGATACGCACATTTTTTTTTTTTTTTTGGTCCCATTCAAGTCCTGGAAAACATTCATGTCATCTCCCAAATGACAATGTCTTGGAACAAATGTGTGTATTGCCACACTTGGACCACCCAATGTGTCCGCCCGGCTGGACACGTTTGCAGCATCGTGCTCAGTGAAAAGTGCCTTAATTCAAAATGAACAGTTCCTCTCCGGTTAATCGCTTTCACTGACGTTGATGTGAGGGTATGTGTCAAGGTGAGTGACGCGTGGTAGTCAATCTGTCAGTCGACAAAGGCGAAAGAAAAGAAAACGCTTTGTTGCGCGCCTCGCGGGTGGGGCCTTCTTGAGACGCAAACACTGCATATGAATCGATCAATCAATAACAACAGATTGAAAAGGAAGCTAGCAGTAGAGTTGATGGAGTTGTCTTTATTATTTTTTTAATGTATTGATCATGAACTTGCAAAAACACGGATTGGACCACAGTTACTAAAATCTTAAGAGCACTGGCAAACTGAATCAAAACTTCAGTCACAATATTGGTTGCTCCTGCATAATGTAAATACATCCAATATACCACAGGTCTCAAAGTCAAGGCCCGGGGGCCAGATCTGGCCCGCCACATTATTTGATTTGCCCCGCGAAAGCAATTCAAGCTTGTCAGCTTCCACGATGCTTGCTGAAGTCTGAATCAAATTGTCATATATGATGTAATAATTCCTATATTTGATGTCAAAAGTAGTTATCCATCTATTTGTTGTTCAATATTTGAACAATACATTATTCTTGATGATGTCAAAAGTAGTTATCCATCTATTTGTTGTTCGCTGTGTATGTAATATGTGGAGGTGGTTAAACATTGATATGGTTTCACAAAATTCACAATTCATAATGGCCCTCTAAGGGAAACTACAATGTGACCAAAATGAGTTTGACACCCCTGCAATATACAGTCAGACGGCCCTCTAAGGGAAACTACAATGTGACCCGCGACAAAAATGAGTTTGACACCCCTGCAATATACAGTCAGAGCGGCTTCAGAGATTAAATAATTCTGGTTTGGGTTGTTTTTTGTCGAACTGCGCTCGGGGTGTTCCTTAGAATGGTTTTACCAATTTAAAAAAAAAAATTTTCAGTTGAAAAACTATTTGATGGCTATTTATAGTGCTGTCAAGAGATGGAAAAAAAGGTGCGATTAATTAATTATGTTCTGTCATTAATTGATCTAATTAATCTATATTTTAATCTCATCTAAAAATTGCTGAGAAACCCCCTATTTTTTAGTTTTAAATTCGTTACATAATTGAGCATTGAGGAAGATCAAAAGATTCACATCACAAAAAAGCGTTATTGTACAGTATTTTATTGTTTTTAAACAGACTTGAACAGATGTAGTCCAAACCATTTACTTTCTGCTGTATTTGAGACTACTGTAATCCCAAATCCTACCTGCAACCTTTAGTTTCGACCACCAGGGGGATTATCACTCTTTTGGTTTTGTAAATCTCCAAATAATTAACAACGAGGTTATTACGATAAAAATATATACGGGTGATGGACCTGTGACCAGACTACCCAGACTCTCGTCAAAATCAGCTGCAATTCATCCCCAACCACAATAAGGCCAGTACGTCGTCTTGTCCGCCAGCGTCTCATTAGTATGAGCGACCGTACGGCAACCTGACGTTTTCAAAGACCGGTATGAACTCGCCGAGTCGGCTCTCTGAAGATTAAAGACCGTGAGCAGACAACAACATCCTTCCTTTTGAAGCCGAATTAATTACACCACGATCAACTTCCTTCCCCCCGTTTAGCGCCTTGATCCAATAAGCACGCTGTTCTCACTGTACTCATTCCTTGCCGCCTCAACGAGCACCCCCGCGCTGATCCCGATCATCGCCAAGATTAATGGAGTCAGTTTCGAGCCGAAGACAGCGAGATTAGGAAGAAGCAATCAGTCAAGCGAGGCTGCAGCACTTTTCGCCCCGCCCGTCTGATCCCCCGCCGCGCCGCTCATTCATGCGTCGGCTGTCGAGTGTTGTGTTCAATCACGGCGTAACCACGGGACGCATCGTCACACTGACTTCAGAGAGCGTCTGCACGCGCATACGCATGCACGCACACATCACAGGAAAGATGAAGACATTCAAGCTCCTCTCTTTTCAAGACATCAAATTGAGTAGACCACCATAATCCCGTTGCGGTAGACCCAATATAAGAATAATAATGGAAGACTGAGACAAAAAAATGAATAAAATAGAAAATGACTCTTCCTAATGAGACGATATGACACGGCACACAAACTGGCGTTGAAGAGAAAATTGAGTGGGATGCAAGAAAAGAGATCCAAAGCGCATCGTAAATCAAAGTGACAAGACCCCGTCGAGGGCCCCGACGCTCTTTTATGAATGAGCCGTGAGGGTCAAATCCGTTGAGGGAGCTTCACGAGTTTCCTCCCTTCTTGTTGCTGCACGTTTGAGACATGACTGATAAAAGAAACGGTACAATTGTACCTCGACTTCCAAGCGCACCAACTTAACACGATGGCACCCGAGAAATATTTCTTTTCATATATTAACCCAGTGGTTCTTCACCTTTTTAGAGGTGTAAGATAAGAAAAGATAAGAAAACCTTTATTCGTCTCACAATGGAGAAATTCCCAATTCACAGCAGCAAAGTTATGAAAGGAAGAAGTAGAAGAACAAAATATAGGAGCTGCTGTAAAGGCAGCCACTCTCGCGGTACCCAAAAAAACCCCCCCAACCAGTTAATATGCCCATTCACGGAACACTTCATGGGTGAAAAATAAATATATATATATTTGTTTTACAAATTCAAGATATTAAAATAATGCATTTATTAAAAAAACGAAAAAATTAAATCACATTTCAAGAGATACGTGTACATATTTTTCTTTTTTTTTTAATGACGTACGATCACGACAGTCACACGTTGACTCCTAAGCGAACTAAATTTCCCACCGCACTGATTGGACAAGCAATGTCATGTGATCATCTGCAGCCAGTGATGGCCAAGCGGGCGTGTCATAACTAATTAACATGTTGAGTCGCGTGGGTCTTACCCTCCGTGGCAGAGGCTCCGTCGAACCCCTGAGACCGACTCACCAAACCCCTGGGGTTCGATCGAACCCAGGTTAAGAACCACTGTATTAAAAGACGATGAACGCCCTCCCCCCACTCAAAAAAAAAAAAAAAAAATTACGAGCGTGCGTAACGCAGTGAAATGTGTTCATCAATGTACCTTTATGTCAGCAGGGACATAACTGTGTGTGTGTGCGTGTGTGTGTCCGATGTATTGCAGCCCTGTGGCTACGGGGTGAAGGATGAAGACTTTTCCTGCGTGCCGTGTCCACATGGGAAGTACTCCAAAGGCAAATATGAGATCTGCAGACGACACAAAGACTGCGACGCCCTCTACAAAGCCACCGTGCGCACGGTGGGAACGCCGGACAGCGATGCGGAGTGCGGCCCTTGCTTACCAGGGTAAAGCCGCGCACACTGGTGCACAAACACAACAAGATAACGTGAGCATGTTTTTTTGTTTTTTTTTTGGAAACACAACAAGATAACGTGAGCGCGTTTTTTTTTTTTTTTTTTTTTTGCAGGGCCAAAGTAAAAAAAGAAAAACGAAATAAAATGAGTACGCGAAAGCAACGGAAAGACAAAAACAAGATTTAAGAAATGCTTCTTGTGAAAATTGAATTATCTGCATTGTTCTCGCTCGACCATTTAAGTCGTTCTCTCTCCTCATGTCACCCTGGACCGTGTTATTACACCGTGTTCCATCTTTGAAATATTTCCTGTAATTTTGGCCGTCCGGAAAGTCGAAAACCAGAAAATAAGCTGATTATATTGTCGTTTCCCCCATTGTGCAGCAGCTAATGAAAAGCTTTTGTCAAATTCTATAGTTGGAGAGACCACCGTAGGGATGAAATAGCAACTAGCTCCGTCTGGCTTTGTTTTTGTGATTTATGACGAGAACTCCCACGATGTGGTCCAAACTGAACAAATGGGATTTTTTTTCTTTTTTTTTTTTTTAATCTGAATGGTTGCAGGTAGCATGACATTACATTCCCATTCAGAGATATAACGAAACCAAAGATGAATGGTTGAATAATATCAGGCATTCACAGGCTCCTTGTCGTCTCCTTATCTTCAGTCTCAACTCAGACCTGGAGCGAGCCATGTTCTCGTGCCTACGGGCTAAATTTCATCATCTGTCAGGTCTTTGTTTTTCCTGCACGGTGTGGCAGACTGTACTCGACTTTTGTCTCCCCCAAAAAAATTCCACACTGCACCTTTACGGTTCCTTCTTCTTAAGGGATCGTCTTTCAAAGCCGATTATACGTTTTTACTATTGTCTCCGTGACAGTGATGATCTTGTTTTTGCTTTTCATGCAGGTATTACATGCTGGAGAACAGACCCCGAAACCTTTACGGGATGGTTTGTCACTCCTGCCAGAACGCGCCGCCCAACACCAAAGAATGTAATCACAAAAATGTCTCTCTCCTTTTTCTCAACTCGATAGACGCCCCACTTGTATGATCTCCTCGATCTCCTTGACGCCGCATGCAAAAGTCACTAAGTCCAAAATATTTGAAACACTGCTGTAGAGTTTCACGCCGTGTCCTGGAAGTGCATCAAAGAATTGATTATTTCCCCCCCCACACCTAAAACAGGCACGTACTCGCTTTGTAATTTGCGAGTTAGCGCCATGTCTGTGTGCGTCGGAGCAATTAAAACGTCAGGGAGTTTGAGAAAAGATGATTGGCGTGTTAGCACTTGTGTTGCATCTTTGGAAGACATTTTTGTGTCATGTCAATCGTAGACGATGGATTATGGCTCCGTCCCATTCAACTCAGTCAGGGCCACAACTTGTTTTTTTTTTTTTTTTCTTTTGTGTTACATTAGTTTTCTGTCAAGAACAAATTTTCTCTCTCCCGCTCTCTATCTCTCTCTCTCTCCACACACGCACACACACACACACACACACACACACACACACACACACACACACACACACACACACACACACATACTTATAAGGTAAATTAAACATGGCTTAGCCTCTCTCCCTTCGGACTGTAGCCAATTAGACTCCTCACCCGCACACTGCAAGCTGTGGCAATTTAAAAGATTTTTTAAAAATTATCATTATTGTTATTATTATTATTATCATTATTATTATTATTATTGATATATTTATTTTAATAAAGAGTAAATCTCTCGCCGGGCATCCGTGGCAATCACGGCCTGCGACGTTTGCCTATCCCGTCCACCGCTTTCTCTCATGACTCACAACCGTCTTAGTTTGTCTATGGCAGCCTGAAACGAGGCTACCGTGGGCACCGGGAAAAGAGTGGAAAGGCGTATAAGCGGCAATCTTGGATAACAGATAATCCTTACTGTGTGTGTGTGTGTGTGTGTGTGTGTGTGTGTGTGTGTTCCATCAGCAATACATGATTAAGAGACAAAACCAGAAGACTAAAAAGAGCTCAATCTTATAATCTTATCCAGGGAGTGTAAACACATGCTGGAAGATGTTTGGAGCCACGGGCAAATAAACACTTGTGTGTGTGTGTGTGTGTTGTATGCCCGTGTGTAACATCAGAGTAAATGTGGTCACATGTAAAAAGAGGCCTTTGCATTGCTTGGAAAAACCGTGATGAAATATTAGCTAATCAATGAGCCACTAATCAGTTGACTTTGCAAAATAAGAGAAAGGAATATCTCGTGGCAGACATCGGAATCCCTCCGCCAAGGCAAAACATTTTTTCGATCAGAACTAAGAAGTCCCAGAAGCTTGCCTTCAACGCATACAATCAAATGTGCCTGAAATCTACCGTTTGGATTTTTATTCTCGTTCCGTTGAGAAATGAAGGCAGATGTTGGAGGGGGGGGGATTTGATTTGAGGAGAATTTCTAGCATTCACACAATGAGTGCCTAAGGAATATGTTTGCGTGTCTTTGTTTCACAGGTATGCAGACCAGCGGGCCAGTCCAAAAACCTCAGTTTGATCCAGGCAGCACCACCGTTTTCCCTCATCTTCAGAAAGGTACGCACAAAACACGCAGTGACAGAATACATGCATAAAAAAAAAAAGCACGAACTAACCACATTCTGTCTCAGATCCAACAGGTCAAGGTCACCTAGCGACGGCTCTCATTATCGCCATGTCAACCATTTTCGTCATGGCCATCGCCATTGTCCTGATCATTATGTTTTACATTCTGAAGGCCAAACCGAGCGGCCAGGGTGAGTGCAACAAAAACCCGGGCAACGGGCATGTGGGGTATCACCCACGTCGCCTACGTGCTAAATGACACGCTTACTATCCTTTGCAGCGTGCTGCCATGGACAAGTGAAATCAGTCGAAGCTCAGACCAACAAACAAGAGGACAAGAAAGACGTCCCTGGTAAGATTCGATTCATTTCGCCGTTATTTTTGGGGATTAGAAATTGCCAGTATAAATATGACAAATAACAGGTTAGGTTTCCGTAAACTTCACTCACAACCCATGAAAAAGGAATCGCTTATAAAATCCGCAACAGATGCAGTTTCATTTGAATCCAACTAAACTGAAAATCATACGTTTGTGTAATGACAGTGCGAGCAGCATCCTGATTGCAGTCAGCCAGACTATAATTTGAATTTCCGTTTTTGCTTTAGCGACGGTAAGTGAGATTCACACCGTTCTGGGAAAAAAAAAAAAAAAGCCTGTGCAATCTGACGCAGGTAATGAATGTTTATTGTAGCTTGTGTTTTTATAACCCACACCGGATTATATTTCAAAGAAAATGAAGTATGGAACATGCAACTGTCAGTTCATGTTTAAAACCACAAATTATGAATTCATTATTCTTGGACAGGTCAGCCCAGTGGTGTAGCGGTTAGCGCGTCGACCTCATAGTGCAGAGGTTCAATTCCAGCTCCCGCCTCCCTGCGTGGAGTTTGCCTGTTCTCCCCGTGCCTGCGTGGGTTTTCTCCGGGTACTCCGGTTTCCTCCCACGTTCCAAAAACATGCATGGCAGGCTGATTGAACACTCAAAATTGTCCCGAGGTGTGAGTGTGAGCACGAATGGTCGTTTGTTGATGTGTGCCCTGCGATTGGCTGGCAACCGGTTCAGGGTGTCCCCCGCCTACTGCCCGAAGACGGCTGGGATAGGCTCCAGCACCCCTCGCAACCCTTTTAAGGATCAAGCGGATCGGAAAATGGAAGGATGGATAGATTATTCTTGGACGGTAGCATCATTATAGTCCCTTCAAAATTCAAACCCAATTTTATTGGGAGGGGGAAAAAAAGCTTCAAAAACAAGATGAAGCTTCAGAGTTTCAAAACCACAGTCACATTTGATGCTTTTCAATGACAAAAACGCATTCTCAAAGTTGGGGATGTGTGAGGCATATCGGCAACACATCTCGCTTTCAAATCACCCCCCCCCCCATTGTTTTTAGGTTTCAATTCCAACAGCTGTTAACTTACATTTATTTATGGAAGTCTTTTTTTTTTTTTTTTTTAGTAACAAATATGGCTTATTTTAACGACGCCAACAATTTAAACGGATCGCGTTGCACCCTGGAGGTTGCTTCGTCCCTCGTAAAACACATTTTAACATCTCATTTTGAGTCAGTCCAGCATGTGCGCATCAAGAACGTTTCGTTTCATGGCACAATATTGGCTATGTCAACGGCGAACTCGCACCGTGCATGTGCAAGTCTGCCTCAGTGTACGCATGCGGGTGTGCGGGGGTGGGGGGGGCGCCGTGGTGAGTACATCCCGGTGGAATGTGGAACCTGCCCAGATAAAGTCATGCATCCCTTTAGGCGCAATTTCTGCTGACAATGATGCTCTGTTCTCCTTCATGTGCCGGCTCACTGTTGTTCCTCATGTTCTCAAGAGACGCAAACATGCAGACTGTGGTTCCACGGCGGGGGGAATAAAAATAGACTTAATAATATAATGACTAAAAGGATGGCAATTTCGAGACTTAATAATATAATCACCAAAATCATGGCAATTTTGGTGGCCGTGATTCACAACAAAACATGTTGGCACTTAAAGAGAGGGTAATATTGTGTATACATGGGCGAGACGCCATCGCTCCGAGCTCGAGCTGTCACGTATATATAGACTGCGTTAATAAGGCTGCGAGATGAAAGTCCATAAGTGCTTTCACACACACACGCGCACAAATGCGTATACTCGCGCCCTCACATGCACTTTTTACTGTGTCGACCGTAACAGATCCGATTTTTAGCCACCCCCGCCCCCCCACCTCAAACCCTCACACCAATGCTTGCTTTAATTAGACCCCCAACAAAAAACGCAAACCCCAGCAACCGCTACGAACCCGCAAACCCGCCAACTGCAACGCTTGCAGACAGAATTGCTATTCACGTAATGATCACTGTAATTGCCTTGTTTTTTTTTTTCTTTTTCTTTTTAACATCCCGCGGCTCCAGTGCCCTAAAGTGAGCGTGTTGTCCTGTGAATAAATATGCTCATGGATCAGATTTTAACCACGCACGAAAGAAAATAAAAGTACAGGAATTAGCTGAGACTGTTGATTTCCTCAAATGGAGCGATCCCTCAATTTTTTTTTTTTTGCGGTTGGTACATTCCATGACTCCCAACGAGAGGCGAATTTCCTCAAAACCGAGGTTGACTTTTTGGATTTTAGTCTTTGGGCCGGGGATTTACTCCCTCTATTAAGTTATTTTGAAACCCCCACACACACGGTTCCCGACCTTCTAATTACTCCTTACTCTTAATAAATGGAACTTTTAAAAAGCAAAATGAAGAATAAACACGGAGTTGCAACTGGGAGGGTAGCGAACTCTGCCTCTGACAACAAAGCGTCCGCTTCATCGAGTTGATCTTTTTATCTGAAAATGGTTTACCTTCATCAGAATCCTCCCATCGCGTTGTTCACAAAGGTGCAATCCGAACGGATTAATGTGCCATGTCAATCGTTGTGGGAACTAAAACCAAGTTGCCATGACTACCAAAGACGAAAATGAAGAAGGAGCAACTTCCACTGGAAGTATGGAACTCATCCGTTAGCGACTCGGTTTCCGTAAAGATTTACAAAGCGCATTATTGCACCAGGATCGAAACATTTTTTTGGCCGGTAGTGGGTTTTTTTTTGGTGGTGGTGTTTTGTTTGACACGAATGAAAACCCACAATAAAGTGAAGCCTCATTAACCGAACTGTGCTTTGAATTAATTGCTGCGTTTATCTGAGGTATGTCCTCTTTTTTTTCCCCCCCCAGAACAGCAACAACAAAAAGTGATTGCGTAACATACAGGTGTCAAAATCAAGGCCCGGGGGCCAGATCTGGTCCGCCACATCTTTTGACGTGGCCCGAGAAAGCAAATGAAACATGTTGACTTCCTATGATGCTTGCTAAAATTTTAACCCAAATTTCAAATTCTCGTATGTAATATATAAGAGAGGTATTGTCAGTTTTTTTGTTACCAAAACCCTCATTACTGCCACTTAAACTTGACTTCCTTATATGGCTTTGCAGTCAAAACGGCCCTCCAAGGGAACCGGTAACGTGGACCGCGACAAAAATGAGTTTGACAGCCCTGGTGTAACGTGTACCTTTCCTATGACTGATACCACCATTTCGTAGTCACTTCCTGTACCGCAGCAAAGCAATCTGTAAAGCTGACGTTCACGGTGAGAACGTGCAGAGCTGTTATCTCTTCACTGTGACACTGTAGCCGTTGGCAACTGAGTTTGCGCTTCCGGTTGAGCTGAAGTTTTCACAGCAACTGTTGTCTTCTCGTTCTCTTTCAGATAAGGTGGTGATCTACTCAGAGAAAGACGAGTTCGACAAACTTCAGGCATCGCCTCAGATGACGGTGAAAAGGTAAGACGTGTCGGATTCGCTCGTCCGATTTTTCCTTTCTTACGGTTTTGTATTGTACTTTGCCTCGCCACGAATTCAGTGTCCATCTTGTCATGATGCCATCCATCCATCCATTTTCGAATCCGCTTATCCTCACGAGGGTTGCAAGCGGGCGTGCTACAGTGAAACTCCTTTACAACAGGGGGGCTTTTCGTTGTAGGGGGAAGCAGAAAAGAAGGAATGGCTTTCATGCATGAAGATTTTTTTTTTCACACTAGGGGGTATTTTCGCACATATAGGTTTCGTCGTAGAGGAGTTTCACTGTAGAGCCTATCCCAGCTGTCTTCGGGTCCTGGTCACGATGCCTTCTACCTAATTTCAGCATCAATGTAACATTTTTCCTTTCGCGCTGTCGCACCGTTGAAATCAAGCCACATACTGAGCCACCTTTAATTTGGAAATATTCCATTTATTAGCAATAAATAGCCTCCTGCGTGCATGTGTGTCATAACCTGACAAAAAAAAAAATGGGGTGCCATAGTTTGATTCAACATGTGTTTCTAATTGAGCCGCCACAGAACAAGTCTGAGCGGCAGTAATGTTGTTGATGCTGGCGGTTGGCGAGTCTTTTACGGGTGTGAGGTACACGACACCTCGTAAACACCAAAAGGTGAACAGTCGAGGGGGTGCAGTGGCGAAGGTGTTTGGGGTTATTTCTTTTCAGACTTCTCTTCAAACCACCGTATGATGATAACTCGGCCTAATCGACAGGATGGCTCTTGTCAAATCGGTATCCATTTTTTTGGCCCAAGTTTTAGATGTGGTCTTTGATTGACTGGGCGTGGTTTCAGCACAATTTGCGGGCACACCCGCAGCGCTTGAGAATAAAGGGAACGGCTTGATTTTGCATGAATTTCTTTTCTTTGAATTTCTAGCTTTTTTTATGCTCACCTATTTTGTTTAATGATTAAAAGTTTATGAACAACAACTTTCTTTGTGGTACGCCAAATTTAAAAGACAGATTTATTTTCACTCGACAGTCGTTTTGTTTCTGTGCCAACTAAACCAGTAGACTCGGGGTTATCCCGGAAACGCCAATCAACCTTCCCAATCACTTTTGAGCGATATTTGTCAACTTAAAAAGCGAAATCACACTCCAATCCATGTGCGGCAGTGAAAACGACGCCTCGTCCGAGAACGAGCAGCTGTTGAGCCGCAGCATCGACAGTGACGAGGAGGCAAACAACAACCTGACCCCCAATTTGGGACTCAACAATGTGGGGAACAAGCCCGACCTCTGCCTGCTCACTCTGGGCGCCGTGGACACCGATTCCGCTTGTAACGGGACCGCCAACGTCAGCGTCAGCCCCAACGGCAACCTCCCCAGTCCCAGCCACACGGGCAGTATCAACCACATCTCCGGCGCTAACCACATCAGCAACGTGACCGCAATCAACAACAGCAATAAGAACCCAGGGGTAGGAATGTGGATCTTTGAAATATGTGTACTTATATGCATTGATGATTATAAACAGATCTGCAGTTGCGGTTCATCTGGATCACATCGTGGTTTTTTTTTTTTTTCCACCTCACAGATGTTACAGAGTCGCAGGAAAAAGATCCTGGACCTGTATGCTAAAGTGTGCAATGTGACAGATGGTACGTTCCTCTCCAACAGCAGAATTTTTTTTTCAAGTTTCTTAAGCATGTCGTGGCTTATAATTTATGACTAATTCAGGTTTGTGCAAACAACTGAAAACCTGCACAAACGTTTCACTAGCGGTCATCAATATGTCATTGAGCCGTTAGAAATTGCCGTTCGGTCGGAACAACACAGTACACCAGCTGTACTTTTTTAATCGACACAAATAGTCTCGGTCTAATATTATTTAGAAGTTTTTCCCGGTTGTTTCGCTTTTGGGGAAACGCGGTGGAATAGTGGTGAGCATGTCTGTCTCACAGCTCCGATTAGATTTCTTTATGTCGTCTGGCTTTCATCGAGAGTCATGCAAGGTTCATTAAAGACTCGAAATCGCCCATAAATTGTAGTTGTAGTCTCTATGTGCTCTGTGATTGGCCGGAAACTTGATCGCAAACTGTGACATAATAGCGTCTCCTCATGTCTCCTCAGGCCTGAGCCCCACAGAGCTTCCCTTCGACTGCCTGGAGAAAGCCAGTCGCATGCTGAGCTCTTCCTACAGCAGCGAGGCCGCCGTGGTTAAGACGTGGAGGCACCTGGCCGAGAGCTTCGGCCTCAAGCGCGACGAGATCGGCGGCATGAGTGACGGCTTGCAACTTTTCGAGAGGGTGAGCACGGCGGGATACAGCATCCCCGACCTGCTCACCCGCCTGGTGCAGATCGAGAGGCTGGATGCCGTCGAGTCGCTGTGCTCGGACGTTCTGGGAGGAAACGACATGGCGGCCGGCGGTGGCCGGGCGGCCGGCGGCGGCCGGCAGGGCATTAGCAGTTTTCATAGCCAATTGGCGTGCCCGTCACCGTGTCAACCTTCCTCTCAACGCTGCGCCAGTGTCTAAGACGCCTGAGCGTCACAAAACTCTGAAGTTGGGATGAAATCTGCTTTGATGCACGACGCATACAGAGACTTTTCTTCCTCATCACATGAAGAACGTTAGCGAATATACCGCGATGTCAAGAAGCTACATATCAAATATAGTTGGATTTATATTGGCCGGGGCGGCCCGGTGGTCCAGTGGTTAGCGCGTTGACCTCACAGTGCAGGTTCAGTTCCAGCTCCGGCCTCCCTGTGTGGATTATGCATGTTCTCCCCGGGCCTGCGGGGCTTTTCTCCGGGTACTCCGGTTTCCTCCCACATTCCAAAAACATGCATGGCAGGCTGATTGAACACTCTAAATTGACCGTAGGAGTGAGTGTGAACGCGGATGGTTGTTCGTCTCTATGTGCCCTGCGATTAGCTGGCAACCGGTTCAGGGTGTCCCCCGCCTACTGCCCGAAGACGGCGGGGGTAGGCTCCAGCACCCCCCCGCGACCCTCGTGAGGATAAGCGGATCGGAAAATGAATGAATGAATGATATTGTCCACAGAATTGGAGTCAAACCACCTAGATTTTGTTTCTTTGCTAGCAAGCTTTTGTGCTTTTTCCATCCGTCAAGTACGGAGATGTACCCGCAGAATCAATCCAATCATTTCCGCCAATCGTATGCTTCCGATTTTGGAGGAAGCTCTCGGAGAAGACTCTTTTCTGTGCGGGAAAACCCGCAAGCCCTGATCTCAAAACACCTTTGAAAAGAACTCGATCGGGCATTGTGAACGAGGTCCTCTCTCAGGTTCAACATCAATAACCTGAACAAATCTTGTGCTGGAAAAATGACACCGTCCGACATTTTGTCAAACGTCTTCCCAAATGAGTGGAAGTTGTTATATCGGAAAATGGAGGGGGGATGTATCACGCTGCATGTTCCTGGATGTCATCTGATTATGAAGCAGAATTTTTGTTTCCATCAAGTAGTAGGAGTAGGAGAAACGAGCACGACGCATGCTCGAGTGGCGTTTTTTTTTTCATCCAGTAAACCTTCACCAACTCATACGCACATTTGCACATGTAGCCATAGATCTACACGCACTTCACACAATGTGCTTTCACAGTTCCAAACACATGTACCAAACACCAACAAACGACTTCCTCTCCAGCAACCTCACCCGTGACCCCAACCCAACCTCCAACACCCCACCCCCACGCCCCTTCATAACTTGTCCTTCCTTCCTTTTTTACTTCGTCTTACCTTAGTGCTGCCGCCAGTTTTAATTATTAGGTGTTGAAAATGGATAGAACTGTTATTGGTGGCCTTATTATTCTTATTTTTTTTTTTTAATAAACAGAGGTCTTGTGGTCAGTCAATCCTGTCGGCACAGAATTTGAGCCCCCTTTTCACCGATGGTACCATTTTGATCACAAAATGCCCGCCCCACCTATTGTTGAGCAAACAGAGACGGAATCGAATCCTCCAAGCGCACAAGTGAAAATGCTCGATTTGATTCCCTCGATTGTCGGAATCAGAATCATATCAGCGAAACGGAAGCATAAGTTTAAGAATCTCCGCACTTGGTAACACTTTCATATTTAACGTCACACAAGGGGCTGGACTCTGCGACTCTGAATGAATCCACGCACATCATATCTTTTGCCACAGCCATTACTTCAACTCCTCAAACTTGAAACTGTGAGGTCTTGTTCGAGCTGCGCCATCTTTTGCGAAATCCAGTTTAATTCGAAACAGGCTGAGCATTTTTTTTTTTTATGGCGCCGATCTGTTCGTAAATGACCTAACTGTTGGATCGGGCTGAACTGAAACGGTTCCCGCAGCTGTTTCTTGGACAAGCAACGTCTTACTTATTCAATATGCAGTCTTGAAGATACACAGAGCATGAATGGGATACCTCAGCAGCACCAGCAGCTGTGGAGCAGTGCAACATGCCCAGAGACACTCAGTTGCATCACAGAACCAAAGTGTCATTGTATATATAACTTATTATTGTACATAATGTATACTTTAATAAAGATGTATGGCAAAAAAAAAAAAAAAAAAAAAAAAGTCTTGATACCTGACCCTTTCACTGCTGTCCGGGTGGCAATTACCGTATTTTCCACACTATAAGGCGCAACTAAAAACATTCAGTTTCCTCAAAAAACCGTCAGTGTGCCTGATAATCCAATGCGCCTTATACGTAGATAAATATTCTGGATTCTGGGACGTAGTATTTTAAACGTCTGTTACAGCTGCAGCGGTAGTGAAAGCACTGTAAAGCTGTATTGTATTGTATGGTACTATATTACCTTTAGCGTAGCTCCATCTAGTGGATGCATAACGCATCCGCAGCCACTATTGTAGCTTCTATGCGCCTTATAACAGGGTGCACCTTATATATGAAAACAGTTTTAAAATAGGCCATTCATCAAAGGTGCGCCTAATAGTGCGGAAAATACGGTAGTACGATAAAATAAAATCCAGACGGATTTCTTAAGGCGGTTTGTTTCCCACCACCTAACCAACAAAATTCAACTTAAATGGAGTCTAACAACGTGAATCAAAGCTGAGCTTTGATAATGTTTCAAAGAATTTTAATCCATCTTTGTTATCGGAGCTCATGAAGTTGTGCAGGTAACTAATAAACTGCTCAGTGAGCGTAAAACCACCGTAACCAGATTGCATCATTTATATCTTTTGTGAGGGCATTGGTGCTCCGATATTTTCACTTGAGTCAGCACATAATGGTGAATTGATAACACTGAATGCAAAATCGCTCAGCACACCTCAATTTTTTTACTTCATCTGTTGAGTTAAATTTGACACATTAACCAGCAAATTCATTTCGCTGCCTGGCTCGAGGTTGTGGTGATACACGAGAGCGTAGAGCAACTGATCTTTGAACATCTCAGGTCAGCGGAGGAGGCCAAGAGTCAGAAGCTCCGGGAGAGTCTCCGGAGCTTAAATCGGGATAAAAAAAATAGTGTGATTGATTTCTTTTGGGGTCCGTCTGCCTCAGAATAAATTGCCGTCTTGACGTTTCTCATATGTTCTTTACGAGTCCCAAAGCGGACAGTGAGGCCAAATTTTATACTGAAGTTGTCAACCAAGGAGACTACACGGAGAGGAGGTCTGCAATGTGGCTGTGCTCAAGTTGATGAGATCAGACATTTAGGTTCAAGGCGTCAAGAAGTGGTTATGATGCTGAACACACGGGTCATGCGAGCACTAGCAGCTAACGACCCCCAAAAATCTGTTTCATGACTTTTGTTGAGGTGAACACTAATCAGAATTTTTACTCATTCAGTGAAAAGGGGGGGTAAAAAACCTGACTGTTCAAATTGAAATATTTTCTTTCTTCATATCAGGGTTATTTGGAAGGATTTTGCGCAGGGGTATATTGCGCGAAAAGGTGCAGAGCAGCTAACTCTGCGTCTTGTTTGTAAAGCGAGAGCAGTGTGACGCCTCACTCGCTGCCCCATTTCCAGTCTGAGACATTAAGAGAGCATCCATGTGCTTATTGCATTACATTCGGCAGCGCGCTGACTGTGGCTGGTGGACATAATAACGATTTTGTGGTCTGCCACGTCAAACTGCTGATTGTCTTGACTTGACTTGGCTCAGCCCAAGTGGAACCGCTAATGCTTCCCCATGTCCCCCCAACAACCAAATAACCCTTTAATGAGCTTAACCAGCCAAACTGGTGGAGGGGGAGCTCTTTAGGGCAATTTACGGAATATTTGGACGACAGAATAAACCCCAAACATAAATCCCTATCAGCGCATAAAGTCGCGCGGGGTGACGCAGAGCAGGGTAGCTTGGCAGTTAAATGTTCGGGAGCTTGCACCAGACACTGGCGAGCAGTCGCGAAAAGTCAATAATTTTGTCGTTGACAGTTTCCAGAGAAGGCACAACAACAACAGCCCCTTCAAGTCCTTAAAGAGACAGTGCACTTCCCCAATAGAGTTTTTCTTTCACAATCAAAGTAAATCAATAAAAATAACTTGATACACAGAGGATAACTCCATCGCTCAATGACACGAAGTTACGGAACTGAAAAGTTTTCAGGAGCTAGATGCTTTCATTTGAAAAGATAAATGTGAAGTATGAGGTCGTTCATCAGAAAAAAAAACATTTGGATTTTAATTTACATGTTAACCTGGGGGTGTCAAACTCATATTTGACGCGGGTCTGATTTTAGTTTCCCTTGGACGTTCCGTTTTGACTGAAACCATATGAAGAAGTCAATAATGGTTTGGTCACCTATTATTTAAGTGACTGTAATGAGGGGTTTTGTAACAAGAAAATGCTTACAGTGTTACTTATGTATTACAAATGAGAATTTGAAATGTTGGTACAGATTTTAGCAAGCATCGTGAAAGTTGACACCTTGATTTGCTTTTGCGGGCCACATAAAATGATGTGGCGGGCCAGAACTGACCCCCAATCCTTGAGTTTGACACCTGTATTTTAACCCTTTCAGGGTCAGTGGTTACTACAGTGGACAGCTTAGCATGTTATCAGGTTACACGGTGCATAAAAGGGTTAAGCTAAAGTCTATTAGAACTTCATGGACCTCTCGGAAAGATTCCTTGCAACAATTCAGGTCCCACTGTATGAAAATTGCCAATAATTCCGTTTTCCCCTGTAATATAATCGCCCTAAAAATTTATGTCATCATCTCAGCTCTCACGCGCAGTCATTGCAGTTTCTTTCCACGTGCATTTATAATGCCAGAGCTTTCATCAGAAGAGTCCGAAACTATTAAAGCTGAAGAAAGCCCTAAGTCATATTGATCGCGTTCTTCAATGTAAGGGGCTTTGACCAAAGGGCCAGAGGATCGACCAGCACATCCGCGAAAAGATCCTGTAACATGGGATAGTGTGCGAGACACTTTGTGATGATAATTGCATTTGATGTCAATGTTAACGGTAACCATCAGACAGTATCTTGGATGGTACATGAATGTACAAATGGGCACCTAAAACCATGCAGCTCTGAGAAATCAGCCATTTGTTTCTGCTTAACATGGTTTAAAACTCCTGCAGCAACACAATCTTATGTGGCCCTAAACTGGCACGACTATACAGAGGCAAAACTATTTGCACAAGAGAAGCATTTTTTTAGCCAGCGCAAGTAAGGGTCTTGCTGGCACTAATTCACATGGAAAGATTAGACTGCTTCAGACCGAGGTCAAATCTGATTAAAAAAAAAATGAAAGACACTTTTT